GTATGGTAAATTTGAAGTTTCAATTAAATTTTTTAATTACAATTCCAAAACAGAAATTCCACTGATGTGAGAAAAGATTTTTGTACATAGAAATGTGATCTTTAGTAAAACCATTGAATGCATGAAACTAAAAAATAAGCTCTGGTGGCAACAGTCGCAAGGGTGGCTAATTGATAACACCGTTTTTTCAGGTTCCTATTATGAGATTTTTGCATATTTATTTTTGTGATGCTTAAGTAAGAAAAAATCCAAGAAATAATTTGTTCGAATAAATATTCAAGGATAATTAATTATTATTTTATTTCCTGCGATTACTTGATTTGAACCAAGCATTTGAATCACACTTTTATATATTAAGCTAAGCGTATAACTTATTTTAGAACAATCTTAAGTGATGCATGGATTTTTACGTATGCAATTTTTGTTAGCAACTTGGGCGCGAAATACTTTAGTGATCTCGATGAGTTCAGCATTTGGTGCACTATATATAAAAATAATTATTGTATCATATGAAGTCAATAGGTAGGAGCTGATTAAAATATTAAAATAAATAATTTATTAATTACATTCAAAATTTTACAATATTTGACTCGTTCACTGATAATGATGATAATTCGCAAAATGTATAAATAATTACAATTACACGTCGTGACACCTTTACGCACAAATACCAAGAAAACCATCGTAAATGTAATATCACCGTCCCGAAAGATTAAAACACAGCTTCACTTTAACGTCATTATCTTTTTATTCATCTGACAATTTATAAAATGTCACGACACTTACTCGTGTGTGTGGCCGTCTTAAACCATTTACAAAAATTTACGCCGAAATAAAATACTAACTTATCATTCTCAATAATCTTCTCAATTTAACATATTGCCCGAAGTTGTGTGCGAGTGTTATTTAACGAAAGTGGCGACTAGTTAAAATTATTAAATTGTTAGATGCATATTCATTACACAGGTTTTATTTAATGGAGGGACGTAATTTTGATTTAGATACCGTATTTGGATCACCTCTGAAGAAACGTTTTTATCAGTGAGCTTCCCCATTATCCTTACTCGGATATCCGGTATATTATTAATAATGTTAAAATTTAATAATAGTCATTTTGATTTAAAAAAGTGACACCCAATTTCACAAAATAGAAAAAGGAGAAAAGGAAATATAACAATACAATAGAATAAAAAAATACAGCCCGCAGCATGTCATGCGATATTAAATATTAGTTTCTTCAATTCTGATAACACTACTTAAGAGCTACTACGAAAATTTATTAATTAATATATTTTCTAATATCGAGAAGTGTCCCCCAATAGCACAATCTTGTACATTGATGAGTCATCGGTTAGAATATACATTATCCTCTTTTTCCTTTCATCATTGACTTTTCTAAAGCTGCTCTTGCTAAATCGGTTTATACACTCCATGACGATTAATATTATATTATTAGATAATATTACTGTTTTTACTTTTCAATTTCAAATTCAAATTTACAATGTTGTAATACAAAATTATCAGTTTTTTTATAATTTATAATTACACTAAATAAGCGAATAAGCGTGCCACATCATAATGCTTTTGTGTAATTAATTAAAACACGATTTTTCGTTAAAGCGAAGCAAGTTAATACGTAATTTTTAAAAAATAATCTATCCAAAACATTTGACCTTAGTATATCCAAAATATAAAATATTTAAAATAAGTTTTGAACTTTTTCTATGCCCAAGTAAGGTAACTTTTGTTTAATTTACTTTACTTTAATTTTTGTTTTGTTTTAAGCTTTGTTGCGCGTCTATTAATATCAGTTTATTTTCACGATTTTCTGTTAAGTCTCTCCATGTTTTTTTTGTGATTATTTTAAAATGATGTATTTTTGAGGTGCATCTAATTTCTTTAACGATGGACATAGCTAATTATGTACTCTTATATACTGCCCCAATTTTTATACAAAGATGGTCAGATGCGGAGGATTTTGTTTTCTTTATAATAAATGAATCAGCCAAATAATATGATGAAGATAATGATGAACGTAGGACTTCGAACACTACAAGATATACATTAGTTATTCTGTTATATCACGCATAGATTCCTAAAGATAAGACAAACATCCCAACATGTTGGTTTCAAATACTTACAGATACAAACCCCAAACACCGATAGACATTCTTGCGCCCGCACGGAACAGATTTATTCAAGATGGTTGACAGGTGATTGACGGGTCCAAGCCACCGCCCGCCGGATCTGTTGACGTCGGTTTCCGTTTGCTGGGTTTGCGGTCTTTTTTTATTATTATTTCGGGAATTAAGGTCAGAATGCTCGTCGAGGTCAAGTGAATATTTATATACCCACTTGCTGTCTACAAAAGGTGTCTTGCAATTCTTGTAGTATATACTGACGGTTGGAACTTATTTCTAACCGCATCCTTAAAATGTCAAAAGGATAGTCAGAAATGGAAGAGACACCACATAAAGTTAATATGTTGTCTTATATTCCCGAAAATATTTTTTGGTGTTTATTTTTCCATATTTTTATCAGTTTTAGACAATTATTGCAGTTCAAAGTTTGCTACGTACATTTAATTGCACGTGCTTTCTTTCTTCTTTTCAAAAATTAAATGTTTGAATTGGGTTTATATGGTTTGGCAATTCAATTTTCTATTAGTGTTTTACACATTATTTTCCATTTTTCTGTACCTACTTATCTGTGTATGTACCTATAATTAATTGAATATTAGTCTCAACTCTATAAGCCAACCAACAATTCAACCTTTATTTTCAGATTCTTATAACATAGGTATTGCACTGACAAATAAAATTGTATTTTGTTTGCCTTTTATTTAGATTTTATTTAGATTCCATGAATGGTGGTACAATTGACAGCGACCCGTTGATTTTAAGTCCATGCTGTGTAATCTTATGTAGTAGACACTTGCTACGAATACAAAAATGAAAGTTCCAACAATAAAAACGCATTTTAGTCGTCTTTGGAAGACATAATCGGTAATATATTTTCATGTATATGAGCTCGTGACTATTAGCGGTTGTTGTGCCATCTATGGAACGGTATACCAAGCAATACTAAAATCAGTAGAATTGGGGTTTCATTTGGAAGACTACACTTCTCTTTTTTGCGATCCTGGTTAACAAAGATATGTATATATGTATTCATGAAGAAGGGGACTCTCTTCTCATGAATACAATATATTTTAGGATATTTTTAAACGAGTTAGCAGCTATATATGTATCATTTACATTTTGATAGCATTATGAGTCTGGTACTAATCGTGGCACCATAAGCAATACGCATATATGCTATATTAGACTGCTGCTCCTAATGTCGCACTTTCTGAGGTTCTAACAATAATGTTAAATTCTACTACTCCAAAATTACAGTGCAATATACGAGAGAAAGAAGAAACTATAAGAAGTCTCACCACTACGTCCAATATTATCCACACTTAACTGAATTAACAGTTTATTTATTCAATAACTTTCTAGCTTTTTTAAGCCTGGTCTCATTCAAAAAAATTTGCGTTTCATTTTTCCATCATTGTCATTGAGGACAACGGGCGGCTACGAGTGGTCTTCGTCTGGACGTCATCTTCGATTATGATTGCGGCAAGGGTGGGCGTTTTCGGTTTGTAAGCGATCGGGAGTTTTTGGTAGACTTTAGCAACTGATTGAAAGAGTAGAATTCTTATTGGGTAAATATAATATTATTATTATTTGTCGCTTCTGATGATCACGTCACTCAGGAATATTTGTGCTGTTTTGCACAAATGTACATAAAAACTAACGCAGAAAAGGTATAATATGCAATACGTTCGGTAAACCTTTCAAGACACTCGTTTATTAAACACTCGCTCCGCTCGTTATAAATCAAACTCATGACTAAAGTTATGTTTTTCAAAACTTGTTGCATAATGTACTAATGTGTGTATTTAGGTATATATTAGTAATTAATAGTAATATTATGCAACAAGTTTATCTATGACGTTACATATCATACTTTTTCATGACCATCTGAAAATTCTATCACTATTTAAATTCTTCCACAAACATTCGATCACTTCCACATTTTGGGTATTATCAAGATTAAGAAACTTCTTTTTGGTTATGAAAGCATGTTCTGTCAGTGGAAAATTTGAAGTTACATTTTAAAAATTATTTTGTAAAAAAAAGAAATTACGTTATCCGAAATTAGCGCTTACTAATTACTGAACTTTTGTTTTGTCTAGAACACTCCTTTCACCATACTCAACCCAAAGTTTATAGATAAAAGCTATTTTACTGATTTCAAAGGGGGAACGCTGTTTTTCTACTTAGCGGCGTCGTGGTTGTGCAGATAAGGGCTAATTGTGGGCTGGACCTCACTGTATACTTTTATATTTAACAGGATCAAATATTTCTCGTTTGATGTAAAACAATATCGGTATACTATTTTCGAACCTTCCGGATTTCTCCTGCGTTGGTGGTTGTTGAGTCGATCTTGCTAACGTTTCGCCAATCATCCTGTTGGCTTCTTCATAGCTTAACTGCAACTACAGGATGATGGCAAGTTCAACTCAACAACTGACGCAGGAAGAATCCAGAAGTTTTGTAAATAGTATTACAGTAGCATGTGGAAGTTTCTTTGAAAAAAGCAATATTAGTATATTTTTATTTTCATTATCTGAAATAATCCTGCAGTCTGCGTTTGGCTATAGCTTGATTATTATGAGTCTTTGTGTTTTTTATGCATAATCCAGACAATAGAAAAATAGTGTAATAGAAAGAAATCATTTTTTATACTATCGAGTTTTTATGGATAACTACGATTACCTACAGGTCTTTTATATCACTATTGTCTCTAATAGAAGTTAGCTGGATGATTGGAATCAGATTAGCTTTTCTGTTAAAAAGTTAATATGCAGTTAGACAATAAAAAAATCGATAACAGATGTGCTCAGCTTATTATAATCTTATTATAATAAGAAAAAAATACATACTTTTTAACAATTGATATTTATTGTCTATTATAATATGAAAACAAAAACAGGATATAAATCTTAATTTCGATTTATAAATATATATGCCTTAAGTAGTTCTCAGAACTTTGTTAATGATCACATCGCAGTGTACAATATGACAATTATATAATTAGATCTCTATTTTTCTTATGCTAATGTCATTGAAAGTTTCTTATATCTAAAATTGCAACAGTAGGTACTAGACGACTAAGAATGCTCAGATATACAACTCACGATATAAATATTAAATTTACTTTTATAGCTTTTAGGTAAAAATTGACATTTCTGCCTGCTATAGAAGAAATGTTTCCAATATATTAGGATATATAAAATATTTTATGGACTCTATAGGAAGAGTACAATCAACTATAAGTGTGTGCAGTCGCTACTGAAGTCGCCATAATGACTAAAATAGATATCACTAGTGTAAATCATACATCGCTATGCTTATAATTATTGCACATTCATATACTAAAAATTGAGCGTGGGAATACGACATTTTGCAATAATAATATAAATGTTGTAAGCAAAATGCCAGGCAAGTATGAGACTTATTAACAAGTATTGAAGAGTACGAAAAATTCGTACTAGCTATGGTATTTCAATTAATAAAAATTCTCAACTTTAATCTCAACATCCGACTTTGCCGAATATATGCCAAAATTATATCATCGAGTTAAAAAGCACGACGATAACCGAAAAAAAACTGTTTTACCTTAAAGTTATCTACATCACAAAAATGCGAATTAGGCGAGGTCTTATTTGTTAGAAAAAGTCAATAATCAAGAGTATTTGAGGAAGCAAACACTCTGTTTCGAGATATTCTTAGGAATTTTACAATTTTCGTTCGTAAAATTCGGCTAAATCAGAGGAAATTCTGAAACTCAAATACTCTCAAACATCTATCCTAACTGGAAGACATTACAAATTTTGTTGTTGACTCGTGCAAATTAACAAAAACTAGACTCTAGGTAAAAATAGAACCGCCCCGCTATTTGAGCGATTTCGATGGCGTTACGGCGAAATAAAAATCTCATATTTCTAAAAAAATCTTCGTATCAGCAGTCTCGAGTTTCATTAGCACGTTTCTTTTTCGATAGCCAATAATATAATTATATAAATCTTGCTACTTAAAAATAAATAAAATTATATAAAACAAATATATATTTATATATCAATAGAAAACATCTGATAATATATTAAGGCATTTATGGAAAAAATTGAGTAATTTACAAGAAAATATTTTAATATGCGTTCTACTACTATGCAATTTAGATTAGTTTTTTTTTCTCTAATATGTGACGATATTGGAATATGTTGACTGGGACTGGATAGACCTACTTAGCAAGCAGTTGATGTGGTAAATATTGCGGTTCGGGTTAGAGCAGGCAAGATTTTATATTATACCAAGTTAATCTTGCATAAATTTTGTTCTTCGCTGGGTGTTAGACGTCTAACAACTGATCGGTCTTGGTATCGCTTCTAATAGTCTGGCGTCCAATGGGGGCATATTTTGCATGGCTGTGGCGGATATCGGGGGCGGTAAACCGATGCAATCTGGCGGCATCTGTAATGAAAAACATTCCAGACCCCATGCGACATTTTTATCAGGAAATTTTGACGGCTTTTTTCTACCAAAAGAAAAAAAAACCTATAGTAAAGTATTTTAGAAAATAATTTTGTATTAAAAAATTTAGGTACCTTTTCAGATATCATTAAACTAAAAATATAGTTTTTCTACTCCCTCCTATAAAATACCTAACTATACACCGATCTAGAGTGGGAAACTTTCTGTGAGATGGCCGTATTTGTCCAAATCGTATCGGAGCGTTCGAGGCTCGTTCGGGGCAGCGCGGGAGGGAGGCCGGCAAAGCGTTTACGTGGAGAAGTAATTTTTTTCAATAGAGAATAATTATGATTTGCTTACATTTCAATATTTTTAAAAGACATCTATTTATATTTATAGTGACTCAGCTTAAAAGCTTCAGTTTCATTTTAATTAATCAAAGGGTCAGACCTATCATAAATGTGTTTGTTTAAAGGCTCTCAATTATTTTAAATAAATCATTGCGGTCATAGTAAAATTGTAGTTAAGTACCTTTGACTCCTAAAATTGAATACGGCGATTATCACGAATCATCAAAGGTTAATAAAAACGTGTGCCCAATTGTTCTCATAGCTAAAATTTATTCAATAAGCAAAATGATTTATCAATAGGTAATAAAAAATTGAAAGACAAATATTTAAAGCACGACAAATTATTTAGTTTGGTTTAGGCTTTCACTTCCCATTAGGTATTTTCATTTCTCATTTCACGACAACCTAAGTAAAGTGAGAATTATTTATTCAGATCTATAATGACGTTTTTGTTTATCTTTATCCAATATTCGAAACAGCGGTGACAACAAATAAATTCTTTATTCGCATTTCGACAAGTTAATATTATAGTTTTTGATGCTTCCATGTCTACGAAGCCAAATTTAGTAATATCGTTTGGCAACATTGTACGAGCCGACTCCTTGGAATAGAGTTGATTTCCCCCACGTAAAGCGCTTATATCTGTATGTCTTCGTCTAAACCTCTACCTTTATTTGGATAAAGGTTTCGGCCGTTTTCAGGTGTTCGTCGCCGGTGCTTTGGGTGATTTGGACAAATTCACTTCATAGCGTTTGTGGTTTTCCCGTTTCTGTCCCACGTGTCCGAGCCACTTCGGACATTTCCGGGATATTACCGCACGGGTTTGGGAGCAATCGGATGTTTTCGGTGATTTTACCGCACGGCTCGAATTTTGACTTTTGTCAATTCTGACGGTGATATCAGTGAACGTATTCGTGTTGTTTTGGAAAAATCTACCCAAAAACTAACGGTGGTAGGAGAAGTATAGTATGCAACACGTTGAGTAAACTTTTTAAGTCACTCGTTTATTTAAACACTCAAAAAACTCAAATGTCGTTTACCACATGATATACTAATTTTAAGTTTTAGAAGTGCGCTGAAAGATTTCAACAGGTAATTTTGCAGGACTCGTTTAAATTTTATTGCTCATACATTTCATTTTTCCCTGATATCACCAAAGTTTGTATATTTTTTCCGTTAAATTTGACATGGTCCATTGATTTTATTTATTTATTATATGTAGTGTAATATTTTATAATTTTTACTATTCTTTGTTTAAAAAATTGACAGTAAAGTGTTTAGATATGTGCCTAAACACCAAAATTTAAATTTAACGTCAAATGGTTATGTTAGAAGAAATTACCATCGGTTGTTGCGGCTGTTGGTGAGGAGGCGGCAGTGGTGGTCCAGGTGGTGGAATGTAGTATCCGGTGGGTGAAACGGGAGGACTGGGGTATATAGGCCAGTAAAAGATAGGAGCGTGGAGGTACTGCCTAGGTGGTCCCATCGGTGCCGGCGCCAGTGGGACAGGCGCAAATCCCGGTGCGAAATTGGAACTTGGATGGTATGGCGCTGGTATTATATTTCCTCCTAAATAAAATCATAAGATAATTAGCAATATTTATCGGAATTTTTTCAATTGTATGAGAAATATTATCGCATACCGCGGCATATTTAGCGTTGCATATGTAAATGATAATTTTATAACTGAAAACTCCATAATTTGGATGTAAACTCTTATTACAAGAAAAGCTAACTTGGCGAAGGAATGTCATTATGTACAAATGCAACCTCACAAACTATATAGATTTTATAGCACCTAAACAAGCAGGCAATGCACTTTCAGTCACTCGAGTTTAGGCAATATAAACTTGCAAAAGAAAATAATTATTTTATTATATTTTATTTCCTTTGTTAAAAAAAAAGATTTATAGTAAACGCAATTTATCAAAATTTCTGCTTAACAAAACCACCTTATTTTTTATAAATGCAAATTAATTTAATTTAATTTAATTTAAATTAATATTAAATATATTGTTATATTATATAAAATGGAATTTGGTACATTTGAATTTTCTTCAAAATCAAATTCAAATTTATCAAGTATTTGATGAAATCCCAAAAAAATGAAAAACTATCCCTTACCTACCTATTTACTAAATATTTCATGCAAAACATGGATTTTTGAAAAAATGGTAGTGATTTTTTTTCTATTAAAACATTAAAAACATTTTTGAACCGGAATCGAATTAAAGGTTTATTAGAAAAGAGTACAGTGACGTCATCGCTTCTCGCGTGAAAGTTATTTGTTTTCCTTTCCTTTCTTTACAGTTTGTAAAGAATATAGATCTACTTTATGCACGTTAAAGTAGAAGGTCGCATAGACTGAACTAATGGCGTAGTAGAATAATGTTTCTGTCTATTACCCGATGACATACTTTTCTAATAAATCGAACCCAAAATAAAGAAGGAGGATGCTTGCAGTAAGTTCGTGTACACGGTAGATTAGGGATTGTCAATTATTTTTATTATATTAAGAACACGGAACTTAAATTTAGCCTGAGATACAGGGTATACTGATTGTGAAACGTTCAAATAGAAAACAATAACTGCAAATAATGTGATTTGCTTTCATACATGAAATATGTACTAAAATGTTTATATTTTCATTATAAAAATTTGTACTTAATGCGATAAAATAAATCTTATTACTCTTATCATAAAATTTTCGACAAAAAAACAAACACTACAGGATTTAGAATATAGGATGAATATTTTAACACAGAATTATGATGAAAATGATAAACTATAATCGGTTTTTCTTTAGGAAACGAGGGGAAAGAATTGCATCGTTTTGAATAACGTTTCGTTTTAACCAATATCTTCTGTGATGTTTAACTCATTAGGCTAACTAATTTCAAAATTGAACAATGTATTACTGGCTCAATTAGAATTTTCATTTTATACGGTTTTAGAGAACTGAATATAGGAAACCTACAAATGAATATTTAACCATCGAGCATAAATTTACTAAACAAAATGTGCGCTACGATTTTGCGGAAAACGTACGCTACCCCGTAAGTCACTGTCCAGTCCTTGAAAGATAAGCGAAAAGCACACTTGAAAACGTACTTCCTTACGCCGTACACTTAAACACTCACAGTTTGTGACCCTGTACCTCAAGTTGATATTTGCTACTGTGTACCATGAAATTCTGTTTCCGGAATGTTTTAAATCAACACTGAAGTGCCATTTTAGTTTAAAACATTTCGGTAAACGCCAGTAGGAGAGTGTTAAATCTAAAAGAGCAAAATATTTATAAATAGACTCACCACAGTGTAGCAGAGTATTTTAACCCGATCCACACCAATATTTGACGTCAGCAGACACCACGAACGAGTCCATAACCCTCCGGGGAATCACCAAGTAATTTACTATAGCCCACAAAATGGTTTACATTGCTCATTTTTATTTCCTTTTTCCTTTATATCGACATGTAATTTATAAACTACAAAATTGTTCTTTTATTTTCTTTTTACTCTTACTCTTATTATTAGTTTAGCTATTACCTACAATGTTTTAACGCTCACAATCTTTTGAATTTCCTTTTATTCTTTATTTTTTTATTTTATACATTTATTGATACTGGAATTGGCGACACTAGAATAATTTTCCTGAAATTCCATAAAAATTACGCAATTGATTAATTTATTTAAAAATCGCAAGCGATGACGAAATGTTTCCTATGTTGATTTTTGCTTATAAAAATGAGCAATGCCGATTTAGCATGTATAAAAAGGAAAACTAACAACAAACCCAAAGCATTATTGTGACAAACATTTATTAATATAGTGTCATTAGAACATATCTTGTAAATGGAGTAAAAAAATAGCTGCATACAGTACAAGAAACTAGTGAACCAAGAGGATATTATTATTTACTAGGTCATTTTTTCTTTGGTGGCGAAGAAATTGAAAATTACACGCCTAATTAGAAGAGAAATTTTTCGCCAATATTTTAGCGACATATCCGTTTGTAGAATGTTACGGTAGGGTTTGAAAAAAAAACAAAAAAATGGTTATTCGTTACAAAAGCTCGATTTTTAGGATAGACCTTGTGTTAAATTAGTTTCGGGAAACTGCCTAAACTATTAATTTCTTGCTTGTTCGTTGCAATGAATAAATGTAGGCAGCCCCGACGAAAAATTTTCTTCAATCTGGACAGGTAATTTCCTTCCTCCACCAACGAATTAATTAATATAAAAGGACCTTCGCTAGATGATGAATAAGGCTCTGGCAAAAGTGACTTAGCATGCAACAGTTTTGTTAGTGGGAAGCGATTTCTTTTACCTCGGCGTGGCCATGATTTAAATATGGACGAAACTGCACCCCAACCATTACCTACTTTCAGCATATGCAAAGAAACCTACAGATGAACAATACAAGTACTGTAATTTACTTTTCAAAAACCAGGACGCGGTATTGTCTATACACGAGTAAAATCAGTGTTTATGCAGTTAGCAAATATATTGCTTTCATGTTCTTTTGGAATGTTTAAAAAAGTGTAAATATAAGAGTAATATATTTTAAAAGACCATATTACCTATTCTACGCGATTATTAACACAAATACTTCTTAAAACAGAATTAATTGTGTATTTTTTTAATGAAACGTTTATTATAAACAGGATGTTCCGTAATGACGTGTCAATACCGGAGGAGATAATTCTTGGATTGATTTTAAGAAAAAAACTTTTTATTGAAACATACATTACCAGAGTAGTAAGTTTTCAGGAATAAATATGTTTTTAGACTATCTAGGAAATGATTCTAGATATCGTTCTAAAACTTGTTAAATTCTTTTTGCAAACATTTTTTGTAATTTATACCAGTGGCGCCAGTCCGCGATTTGTATCGTGCATTTTTTAAATAAAAACTAGTACGCCACTGGAATTATTTGCCCTGAGTTAATTAATTCTTTTGCATATGTATTTGCACCCTGTGTTGCAAAATTTAAAATGTCTAGAACATACGTAGTTTTTTTCTCAACCCTCTCTCTATCCCCTTCAACCAAAAACATAATATATTAATTAGGTGCCTACTATTTTGTAAGTTCATAATTTTTTTTCAGTCCTTTGTATCAAGTGGAAAAAAGCTTCCAAATTTTCCACTGTTTACATCGTGCTGCAGCTTTTTTATTTTATCTTGTATAAAAAACCAATATGCAATCTGAAAGTCTAGTGGTCCAAATGACATGTATATCATCGCGTTGTCAATTTTTAGAATTTACTACAAATAACTAAAAAAAAATAATCAAAAGTGAAATGAAATAAAAATGAAAACTGTTTTCACAATAATTCAATAAAAAAAATGCAAACTTGATTGAAATTACCAAGGATCTTGGGAACACAATATTATAAAGACATATAAAGTTTAGAGCCATCAGTAAAACGAGGTCCATAATTTCCATATACGCGAAACCGGCAGTTCTAATCTGTGTACATCGAAATTCGAATTCCCAATACGTGTTTCACAATCATCGGTTCATTTATTTCATTAAACACACAGCCTTATTAGAAATGAATAGAAACTATTAAAAAAAAAACAGACTTCCAGTTAAACTAAATAGGTATATAAACAGTCACCATCCGCCCAAAACACCAACTCACCGCTGTTAATAAGTGCTAACTCACATTCACCCAAGTCGACTCCATAATCTAGCGAAAGCTAAGGAATGATGCAAACGAGGCTTATATATCTAATAACTTACTACCGGACCCGAAATACCTTCAATAAAAACATTTTGTACGCACTAAATATTTTTTATTGAAGTAATTGGGTGCCCCTAAACAAACTATAACTAAATAAACTAAATATTCCCAATATATATTTATATATAAATTTAGAAATAGAAACAATAATTAAATTAATAATTACACCATAATGAGTTTTGTACATAAAAAAAGTTGTAGTGATTATTTAAGCTCACTACGTTAAGTCAAAGCTTAAATTAAAAAAAAAACATCCCTCGCCACATTTACGACACTGTCGTAAAAGGGCGTTTTTTCGCGTACCAGAATATAGCAATCGAGAGTAACCTTCAATCTGCGGAAATAAAGTGCTAGAACCACCGAAATAATGTTCAGCCCTTCAATCATTAGTTGGCAAACGGTTATTGTTATCACATAAAGCAGTTCGGTTGCACCAACAATGACAATCAACAGCTGCCGATAAAGTTTTCCTACAGATTTACCAACAACGTCTTCCTTAATGTAAATGTCGCCTGGTGGAATGTTTAAAAATCACAAAACGTTAGAGAGTCGTAAAGCCCGCCACCTGACGCACCCGAAATTTTCCCTGAATTCGTGTCCTATATCGACACACCAAATCCTTTCGGCATGCGCGTCACAGCGTTAAACAGCGTTATCAAAAATATTTAATCCTAGTAACAATAGGTATAGTTAATTATAAATATACTTAGCGGCTATGCTGCAACGATTGTAATTATGGTTTTAAAAACCACAATTTTCAAAGTATTAGTGCTAGGAAATTTTTTGACCACTCAAACTAAAAAAATTAATGTAAATAAGTTGTTTTCCGACAAAAAAAATATCTCGCCGATTCAATTTTGGAAAATATTTTGAATATGAAATACTTTGTAATTATATCAAACCCAGCTGCCCCAAGACTCGTTTTTAACTTAAAGCTATTGAAAATATAATCATTATCGAATTAAGCGGTAATAATCAGTTGAACTTGATATCTATACATTATCATAATATAAATCTTAGGGTTATGTAATTTTATTAGTCATTTTAAGGCACTTATGTCACCAATAACATTTCTTTAAGCTTCCTGCGACGTTTCTCTACATGTTGGGATAAAAAGACTGATATATAGGCAATTGGGCGGCGTTAGTCGTCGATACACCTGCCTGAGGGTGGAACGCGCGTTTCGCAGGAGTGGATTGCTCCTGGAAAGCGTCTCCATAGCTGCGCTTAACGGCAACGTGGGGCATCATCGGAATAACCTGAGTTTGACCCGGTAGTATGGGATACGTGGCCATAGATGGTGCTCTAGGTAGTTGCATTGGCATCCTAGGCGGTAGCATCACGTAAGGATGAGAAGGAATCAGGTGCGGGAAGATCATACCGGCGCCAGGAGTAGGAGGTTTAATGAGTTGATTGGGTGCGGTTTGGGCCGCGTTGGGCGACAAAGGGCCCTGACCAAACACCGCTAAGTTGTGTTGCGCAATTTGATTTATCAATAGCATTTCGTTGTGTGCTTGAGCTTGTGATTGGCGAGCCAAAAGGTTTTGTTGTGCGATAAACTGCGCTTGTTGCTGGGCGAATAAGGCTTGGTTTTCCCACATGGTCGGAGGACCACCGACGGGAGTCTGAACCAAATTCGGGGCAGTAGCGTTTGGCGGTGGTGGTGGGGGAATGTTAGTGGGGGGTAATGGTAACATACCCGGGCTAAGCAGACCTGCTGGGGCGGCTTTGGCAGGCGATACAGGTGCCGGCAGGCCACCTGTCAGTACGAGATTCATGTCCTCGCCTGAACACTGAAACACTTCGATATAGCGTTGTTTCTTTCCGTACGTCATATATCGATGGTGTTTTTGTTGCGCCGTTATAAATGCGGACTGCTCCGAATCCATTTGGATGAAGGCCTCGCCGCTCGGTTGACCCTGAAGTGAATAAGAATTACTATCTAGCGCGGGTGGTCGGATTGACGATTACCTGAGCATTGTACACCATGTGAACTCCTTGAAAAACGATATTCTTAGCATATTCTCCTAGAAAGTCCAAAATATTCTCAACTAGGGCTTCGTAGGGAAGACCCCTTAATCTTATACAGTCTTTTCGAGTCCCCGAGGTAATCACATGTTGTGGCAGTAAGGGCAGTTGCGAAATAGGTGCTATAATGGCGGCCTGTGGTCCCGGTGGGGGTGGAGGAGGATCCATCATTGACCTATTAAGTACCTGAAACGTTAACAATTGTTAGGCTTGCATCTACCCTATGGCAATTTTTATCTTACCTGTTGCACTTCCGCCGTAGTCGATCGAAACAATTCGATATAACGCGAGCCAATACTTTCCCGATGTTTGGCGAGGGCCTTGGGAGCATCGCTTTCGCTTGCGAAAAGTACAAAAGCATCTCCGGTCGCGCGGCCGTCCGGTTTTCTCACGAACAACACCCCATCTGCACCGTCCATTACCGTACAGGGGTTGTCGCCAGATGCAAAGAAGTCCAACTGAAAAGGAGGGGATTTCAAATGTACAATGTACAAAGCCAAATCGATAGATTCCATAACGACATCAAATAGAATGTTGGGCACAAACTTTTCACATAAGTAGTTTTTTCATATATTGTACGTCGTATGCGTTATTAAGCAGTGTTTTTAAGATAACAAAACTGATTTACGAAAAACTCCTAAATTAATTTCGTTCAATATTTCCAGTTTTGAAAAACGGTTTAAATTCATAATTTTTTCCGTGAACATAAACCTTGAAATCACTTATAAAGAAATAAGAACTACAAACGGTAAACGGTCAAACATTGTAATTTAGGAAACGTATGCCAAAAACCAAATACATGATACCGTATTCTTCTCACATACGGTTGCATAGCAAATGAAATGAAATGAAGCAAAATCTGAAATAAAAAATCCAGGACCTTAACTAACAAAATCATACCGGTGAGAGTACAAAAGAATAAGAAACTTTCAAATTTAAAATGTAAAGGATGTTGTTTGAAATATTCAATAAAATTAACCTTAGACTTTTTCAGAAATCATTCTGTATCTCAGAAAGCTGTGGAAATTTGGCATGAGCATCAAAAAGTACATTTCAACTCGTATTCAGAGCACCTTGTACATAACATTGATCTAAATATTATTAGTTTAAATTTATTTTAGAAATTACAGCACTTTGTAGGCTATTTTAAATGCAATGCAATTATCAAATTTTTGAATTCTTCCGAAAATTTGATTAAACAATTAATTTTCTCACATACTGCATTTATTATTAATGATTTCTATATATTTTTCAAAGAAGCTTCCACGGTATTTACAAAACTTTTGCGTCGGTTGTTGTTGAATAGAACTTGGTGACGTTTCGCCAATCATCCTGTTATCTTCCTCAGTGCTTAATTGACATTCGCTTGTTCGCATTCTACTTTATACCTGTTTATATACTGTTTGAGGGGCGCGGAGATAAAAGAGAAGCGTAAACATTGTCTCGGATGACTGATTCTCATATTGGAGATTTCTATAGATTCTCGGATTTTTCGCTAGCAGAAGAATTGATTACATTCAAGAATTTTAGTTTATCAAATAACATTTTATGCTCGGTTTCGTGATTGTGTTCGGCAACTGCTGACGAATTTATTTATCGTAGTCTTAAGGCTCTTTCATGATCTTCATGTTCATGTAATTTTTCGCCCTCTCTCTCCAATGTATTCCTTGCCGCATATGCATAGAATTCTAACTTCAGGTTTCTCAAACCGAATTTTGTTTTTGACGGATCGAAGATGTTGAAAAATTTTTGGACAAGTGGTAAATCCGATTGTGACGTAATATTTCTTAAGAACTTTTGATATATTTTGAATGTAAGAAAGGACAACAGTGGCAAGTCTGGGTCTGCTTTCGGACTCCAATGTGGAAATTTAATTTTGATTTGATTTTGGTTTAATATGGAAGGTGTCGAGGGCTTTCTTCTCAAAGACTTCCATCAATATATTTGCGATAACTGTTGATAATGGAGAACCCGTAGATGTTCCTGACGTTTGTTCAAAAATTTGACCGTTATATGTTCCAGAAAAGCATTTTCCAAATTAGATGAGAAGATTAAGGTTAAGTGTATAGAGTAGAATGCGAGCCAGTTAGAGTTAAGCAAGTTCGATTCAACAGGAGGTATCCAGAAGTTTTGTAAATAGTGATTTCTATATAGTTCAGATATTAATCATTTCAGAGTTCATCGAATCATACTAAGGTGTTCTTACCTCAACCCATTACGGATGAAATGTTATCTGACAAGTATGATACATGTTCACATTTTAAAGGGCAGCGATAATTAAAAGTAAAACGAATGAAGAAGTAACCTTTTCCAAATTACAGCCAAAGAGGAAATTCTTGTTTGCGACTGGTTAATGATCGAATCTCAAGGCTACTTAAAATTAAGCACTTTTTAAATTCTTCTCTAAGGTGGTAAAATATTTTGGTGGTATGCAGTAATGGCAGCAATATGTAAAAAATATTTAGTTGAATTGGCGAGCTGGCGACAAAAAGTGAAGAAATATTAGGAGCTTTTAAATCAGGTTGTGCGACAAAAACAAGTCTTAAAACCAAGCTTCAAACAAATAATTTCAAAACTAAAGAGGTTTCTCGTTAAAATTTTAAAATCATAGATAGAAGATATGAAACGTAATGAATAATATTTACCACTTGTTTGGCCGAACAGTCGTATGGTAAACCTCGCATTCGGACGATGACGGCTGCACCTCTTGACAAAAATGCCAGCGCTTCGCAGCTGCTCCCTCCAGCGACCGAGAGGAAATCATCACCAGTGGCCCGGTACACCTCGATGTAGCGGGTGTTAATGTGATGCTTGTGCCGTTTGAGAGCCATATCACGGTGTTCCTGAGATACGAATCTGACTAGTGCTTCGCCGTTACGTCTGCCCATAGACGAAAGGCAAAGAGCTACTCCACCTCTACATTCACAAACAAGACGAACACCGTTAGTAAATAATTAACTTGAGCCTGGAAAAACAAATTTTTTGGCAAAGCTAAAAATCGCAGTTAATCTGTTCATTATATTATTTTCATTATTATTTCATTTCATTAATATTTTGTTAACTAACAAATATTATTTGTGACCCAAGAGCATTCCTGTCTTAAACAAACTAAATCCGCACTTTTATTTTTGACCCTATTTAATCACTTGAGCAGATACGAGAAGAGGTCCTAAGCTTACTTAGGTAAATTTTTAATAAGCCTCCTTGCCTTCATTTAGGGAAACGAAAAAAACAGACAATGAGATGAGTGCAAAAGCAATAAGAGTGTCTACTAGCGTGTCTCCTTACTTTGCCACATTTAATCCTCGAAAAAACTTCGCAATGTCTTGATCGCTGCTTTGCCACGGAAGTCCTCTTGCTCTTACAACGCAATTGCTGTCGATTTCATCGTCTTTCGAACTGAAACACACTCGTCGTAATTGTTGCGTCACTTGCGATAACACGAAAATATCGACAAGCACGAATATATTACATAGTGGCATAGTATCATTGTTTCGATATTAAAGAGTGATTTTTGTATTATTTTGCAATAGCAGTTAGAGAAATGCAATAATTCTAGAGGACTTTGATTCTTTCTTCGATAGATATTTTTTCCCACAAAATACATGTTTAGGTTAGCATTTTTTTTATCAGTATCAAAATCTACTTGTACTTCTGGATTCCTTCTGCGTCGGTTTTTGTTGAAAACTGTTTTCAGTCAAGCTCTGAAGAAGCCAACATGATGATTGGTGAAACGTTAGCTAGTTCGACCCAACAAAAACCGATGCAGCAGGAATCCAGTAGCCTGTGGACGTTTCTTTGAAAAATCTATTTGTATTATTAAGGGTTCGTTTATCTCGTTTATTTAAAATATATTAAATATTACGTAATGTCTGTGTTGTGTAAGTAGAATCGAACAAGATTTGATACTCTATGTAGATCAAGACAAGTGCCTCATATTAAATCAGAGCTAAATAAATACTTTATTTACTTGTAATACAAAATGACGGTAATTACGCTAATGATAAGAGTTTGATAAAGATACCGAAAGATATCGGTAAGTGGGTACAATAATAAAATTCATTTTTTTAAATAATACATTGCGGTCAACTTTAATTTGCTAATAAACATTACGCGGGCACTAGAAATATTTAAACCATGGAATTAAAAGTCCAAATTGTAATATTGTGGTTTGATGAGCCACGTTTCAAAAAATATTGCCATGGTCATAATCTGTTATTGAATCATTAACGTTGTAATAATAAATCAACTAAAATTTAGCTCGATTGATAACTTCTCTGACGAGTCACTGCTCTTGGCAAAAGTTGCCGATACCAAATGATTCCCCTCATGACGTGGTTGTTTCATAGGTTGTGAATATTCGATGTGATGATGTGACGAACAGATTATCAATAAATTCTTGCAAATAATCGGACTTGAGCAGAACATTTGGTCTCATTTGAATGTAACACACGCAGCTCAAATGAAATCAACGTTTCAAATCTACCAATTATTTTTAATAGAAACCGTAAATGGCTCATTAATTTGAATATGACAGATACATGTTTTATTACTTGTTAAGATACGAGTATTTGTTTCTTTCTACGCGCAATTTTATTTAGTTCAGGCAAAAATCAAAAGCTGAAAGAGTAAAAAAGCACGAAACATTATTATATAGCAACATCCAAAAATGCTTTGTTCTTATCAATTAACTGGTCTATATTTTACAATAAATGCAGAAATTGGTTACAAAATGAAGTTGCCTCAATTCTTCCTTCCTCCCTTGAACATTTTTAGCACATGCCATTATTTTATTGTCTCAAGATATACTCACCAGAAATAACTCAAATCACACACACATTAAAGTGAATTTAGCATCACCCAAAACTAAATTTTACTTATAAAGTTAGTAGTCTCTATATTAAACCGTATCTCCGTACAACCTTATTCAAAACTGGAGTATAAGAAATGTGACAAAACCGATAAGTGGTTCCGTAAAAAAAACCTTTAAGATTTGGATTATTTATCTTTTTCTGTTCTGTAGCCAAGCCGGCGAGTTAAATAAGGACAGATGCAAGAATCTGAAGAATATCGGTGTAACGTGTTATCTGTTTAGTGGGGCAACAAATGTCAAATACTATTGGGTTTCGTTTCAATTGCTGATAAGAGCTTTGATTTACACAGAGCAAAAACAACTTGAATAATAAATATATCCCTAATATTTTTCTATTTTTATTTACCGTTTGATTATCGCTTCAAAATGGAACAAACAAATGTTCGAGATCGTGGTGCTCAAAGCCTAATGACAGGCAAGCCAATGGGTTTGGTTGTGGTCCGGTAATTCGTGCATCGTGTTGTGTTCCAAGGTATATTAATTCGACTAAACGACATACTTAAATAGGTAACAAAATCTCACTGACCAAGGTATTTTCATCTGCTTTATTGAGGCATTCACGTAATATTTCATATTGACGACATGCAATTATAATTCTTTAGGAGTTTATTTCAGAAATTACGAAAGCTGGTTGCTTCTTCAAAATCAACAATTTCATTTCCTCTTATGATGATCATATTTTTTTTTTAAGTTCAAAATAGTCTATTTTGTAATCTGTTTCATGTGTATTACAAATACAATTGTAAGTAGATATAATATGGTACGTACTAGAATTAAATCACAATTTTTTAACAGAATATTAATGATCCGAAAAGTGAGTGTGAAATTTGAAATAGCGATGCAATGTTAATATATCTTTTTAGTCAAGATATCTCTAACAATTCAAAATTTCGAAAAAATGGCCAATATTATAGGCAGTTACTGCGTCATTCAGTGATCAGAATAGAATGGAAAAGAATATTTCCCATTGTAATTTAAATGCTTTCGTTTTCATAACGATTGCAATTAATTGAATAATGTATATTATTTAAAGAATGGAAAAAAATATATAAAAAAAATAATGCCCTTGAATACTTTACATTTTCTTAAAAAAATAATTTTGACTGTCAAATGGTATTCAGTATTCATTAAAGTAAACATATTCAGTTTATCTTCAACAAAAATTCAGTGCCCGTTAAAGAGAAATCGTGAAAGAATCATTGTTCTGTTCTTGCAATTTTTACAATGTAAGAAAGGCCCAAAAAGTTTTTAATTTTGCCCTCAATACAGCAAAACCGAAGTAACCAATGCAATGCATTGTAGGACAAAGGTGTTGTTTTTGACATTTTCATTGGTATATGTTACTCCAAGTCGGAAGTCTAAAAGGAAGTTTTATAAACTAAAGTAAATTAGAAACTAAAACTGTCCAATTTGAATATTTTATGAAAATCAATTGCCTACTTTTAAGAGATTAAGCCCATTGAAATTATATCGTATTACTAAAAGTACTATTGTTTATTAGGTGATCTTGTTTTCCCAAAGACTGAAAGTGTGTAGCAAAAATGCGAATGAGCTGAAATACGAGAGGTATTGAAAAGTAAGTATTAAGTATTAATGCTGGTCATCGGATTATAGGCAGCAAAAAGATTTGTTGAGAGGTGCCAGCCGAGTAGAACGAGTACCACGAGTTTATTTTAAATATCTGACCGACTGATGAGTGATGATATATCTATCATTCCTGATTAAACAATTGGTAGCTCTGAAAGTGACGAATAGCTGTTAAAAATCTGAGATTAAATGATCAAGGGATAAATTTTATTTCAGGATTACATAAATTCACTCTTCAATCATCAATCATTTAATCTTGTGAAGAAGTTCAAAAATCCCCTAATACTAAATAAAAGAAAAAGAATTTTTTTCGGTCCATGCTATTGGATTGTCAAATTATGGTACAAATACTTAAGGGGTAGTAAACAGAAATATGAAATAAATTCGACAAAGTTTTCCCACGAACTTGACATTTTTTTGTGATGTAGTGTGGTGACACAAATTAAAATTCTTGTTTTGTAAAATTTCTAGTTAGGTGTATTTGTATAATAATTTTTAATTATTTAAATTTAGACAATTTTAGTTTTGTTGATTTCATGTACTCTGTTTCAAGTAGTGTATGTTGTAGAAATACCAACAAACATATGTATTTTAAACAAACAATTCGATGACGTCCATATTTTCAAAAATCACAACCGCTAATCCCGTTGGCGTATGTCTTATCCGATTCAGTTTTTGTTATTGTTAAAATGTTGTACTCGGCTCGTTATACATCTTGTACGAGTTAAAATTTAAGAAGACTATACATACTACTGAATTAGCTACAACCGCAGGTGTCTCGGGAAAGCCAGATTTGAAATTATGACGGAGCATCGACAGTTCGGCAACAGTGTATTTTTTCTGAATTTAATTAACAAATTATTTGTGCAAGAAGTTATTTGTTTTTATGGTTGTTCTTTGCAGAATCTTGTATTAAATAAACAAAATAACAACACCACGCGAAAAACTCAATAACTCAAGTATTTCAAGTTAAATTGTAAAATAATTATTTTGCAGTATCTCTGTCACACCACGAATAACGCTCACTCTTCCGACGTTCTTCTCATACCAGACTCTCTAGAATAGAAGACCTTACTTTAAATTTCTCGGTGTAGCCATGATATCATCATTCGTAATTCCGTATGCACATTATGAAATTGAAACGAAATTTTTATTACAAAATTTATGCAACAAAGGTGCTTAGAAGCGACTGCTTATAACTTTTACCCACTCCACTAGTGCCTGTTGTTCAGAATTTTATTGAGATAGACCAAAAATTCTATCACTTCAAAAGCTCATGATCTGTCGACGAATAATGTGTTATTCATATTTTGTGAGCACTGTTCCCGTGGATATTTTCAAAGAAAATGTTCGCTCCGACTGTTCAAAAATTAACACAATATGTATTAAATACTCACCAAATGCCAGGTTCCAATACCAGGTTAATAGTCTCCAGGCTATCAAACCGATGCCCTGAAAAATTAAAGCGTAGATATTAATTTCCCATATATAACTATTATTTTACACAATACTCGTATGCACAACACCCAGAAGAAGACCTTATTAGCAAATAATTAGCCTAATGTGCAGTCCCAGAAAATTTTTACTTAGTTACTTAGTTCATTAAACCTGCTGAGCGCAGTGCTTTTGCGATGTGAATAGAAGGAGCGAAGGAAAATTTTGTTTCTTTCGCATGTCTTTTAATCGCATGTAAGTAAAATAAATGTTATCTTGTATAGGTCTTTGTACTTTATTTTTAATGTTATATGTTCGACAAGTACTAAAAAAAGTTCTCAGACTTATAAAACTTGGCTCATAAAATGTCAAAATCAATATATTGTTGTTACGTTTTTATTAGGGCAAGTCGACGTTTATATTGATACCGTTTTAATATGGTTGCGAAATAAAATTACAATAGACTATATAGCTACTTCCCGCATAAACAGTAATGTCCTAGTTTAATAAAACTATAAGGAATCAATTAAACTTCGAGGACGATGTCTCAAAAATTATCCTTATTCACGTCCTTATATTAACGTAACATGCAAACTTATATGAGTTCTGAAGTTCCTAACCTGGTTAGTACAATTAAGTGTTCTTTTTTAATCGTTATTATTAATCATTATTATTTTAAATGTCCTTTTCTTGATTTAACCGAAGATAAACTGGCTCACTAGATTTAAGTTATCCAGTGGCGCTCTGGGTAGGCAACACATTTTTAAGCCACTGATGTTTACAAAATTTACGTATTTTTTGCTTATTCGGGAACAAAGCTTTTTAAAACAAAACGTTTTAAGATTCGCAAATTCGTAGATACCTTTTGACACTTCTTACCTTTCTGGTACTTCTTTAATGTAATTAACAACCATTTGTATGGTATGCAATGTGCATTTAATTTGTTTAAAAATCCTCATAAACACCTAAATCTCTTCTAAATCGGCAATAAGTAGAAGATTTCAAAAAACTACTGCGATTTAAAGTATATCACACACAGATGTCATTGAAAAACATTTTTAATTGACTTAGAAAATAGTCGAGGTATATTTTAGATTGAGGTATATTTTTGGTTGATCGGGCATCGCTCTGTATATGTATATTCAAAACGATTTATTCATACAAGCTGAAAGTGTCAATCCCGAGATATTACAACCGATAACACAATAAATAATAACAACGACGAACGAAACAAAAAAAAAAGTTCGTTTTCCGATTAATAAAAAAACAGGTTTGAAATTGCAGTTTTTTATTGAAATAAAAAACACGTTTTAAGAAGAAATTTGATAAGATTTGTGTTGTGTAATTGTTTTAAAATGTTTAATTTATTTTGCAATAACTAATTAAACAATTGTGCGAAACATTATTATTATTTTTCGTGCTGCGAAAAAGATTTACAAATCAACAAAATTTTAAATTTTGAAAATACGTGCAGAATGACTTCAAATTAATAAACAAATGAATTTGAGTACTCTGAGATTATATTGGTATTTAAAAGTAAGGTAGCCATGGAACGTCATGTTACAAGCATTGTAATTGACAATAATCATTGCATTGACACACAAACGTTTTATTAACGTGTTTAAAAAAAAATGAAGAAAAACGATATGTATGAAAATTATTCAAAATTTTAAAAAATTACTTTTTGCCAACTATGTGTGTAGTACTCGACCTTATGTCGAAAAGTAAAGACTCGGGAAGAAAAACCTTGCCACTAAAGCGGCCGTTTTATGGGTTTTATAGATATCTAAAACGGACACCCCTGTAAAGCTCGGAAAATTTGATTCGTTTTCGTTTAATGGAAAATTGGTGGGGATGTTCCAATAACATAACGGGTTTTATCAAACTAGGAGACATCACTATAATTTTTTTTTAAATAAAACCATCGACATCACTTATATTGCAAACAAAGATAGCCAAATAATAGTCTCGATAGATAGATAGATAGATAGATCGATAGTGAAAATCGCTTTTCGATATCTTTCTCCTAATCTATAATATATATAGCGGCCATTATGAAATCCAAATTATCGTCATTTTAGCAAAATATTTTACTTTAAATTTACTGTTAAAATACAAAAGTTATGAGAGCAAAATAGCAAAAATTGTAATGGTGTTTTGGTAGACTTATTTGTAAAAAAAAGAGTCTTTTCCATCTTTGGAACTCCATGATATATTCCGTTTCAATTTTCAAAACATTAAAAACGCAACTCTTTCTGTTAGAATATATGCGACGGAGTATCTTGAATTAAAACATGTGTTTTATTTGTGCTATTGATTTTCATTATTGTAATATATTTTATTGCAATGCTTCAATCATATTCGTTAATTATTATTGACCTTCTAAATACAGTGTTTTAACACTAAATTAATGCATGGATATTTTGCTGAAAATATGAAAATATTCCCAAAGATGACATTATTTTGTTTTTATTTTTTTAATTAGATATTATTGGTTAGGAAATGTGCTTTTTACTAATTTGTGAGGCTGTTATTTGTTGGAATAAAAATGATTATTATTGAGTATTCTTCTATTTTTAAAATTCATAGCGATCTCCCAAACGCCCTCTAGAGGCGAAACAAGCCGTTGCTTGGCCTAAGAAGATCGTTTTCAACGACTCCAAGTTTGACAAAATGCGTTGAGCCATTCTGAATTTATTGATGTTCATTTCCGAAAATGTTGGGCCACCCCTCACTACCTTTCCTTAAGAGCTAGCACACAAACTATTCTACGAATTTATCCCAAATTTGATATGATGTTCATTTTCGTTATCTGTAAGAATGCGATTATGCCTCCTGGCGGTCATTCTAGAAAGTTTTTCATCCTCGGTGTTTACGACAGTTACCTGCCGAGTGCCCTTCTTAATTGCCCACAGGTACATCGCGGAAGTTATTACTCTCCAGAAAGCTAGTATTCAAGAAACTGGCAAACTGCATCCAAAATTTCAGCTTTCAACACTTTCAACTAACCCACAAATCAAAATTGAAATTGTGCTTTTTTTTAATCGAAAAATATGGAAAAATATTCGCAAGGTGAACAGAAAACGGAGAGAAAATGGAACGCTATACCGGTTGTCCCACCCTGTGTAAACCTAGATACCTAAGTGTTGTGTTTAAGATTTTTGTGATTCATTAAGTGAGCTTCTATAAAATATGTACTATTTTCTAATTGATTGCGGCATAAATGTAAACAACGTATATCAGTATTTTTTATGGTTGATTGTTCACTCAATAAACTAAATAAATCCTTAGGCTCGTTGAGTACCCATGAACCAGTGTAATCTTCTTCTGAGGGTGACAATTTAAAAGAACGGTGGATAGAGAAACGATAAAACACTCAACGAACATCAAAATTCACATATGATTAAAAACTCGGCGGTTTCGAATTTTATTGACTTTGTCGAATATAAAACTTCCAGGAAAAAATCTGTCTTGCAATACCAAGAAACTTTGTTACTTACCCTCCATAATTAGCCTCTGTAAAATATTAACCATGTCTTTCGCTTCCTTTTTATAAAATTCGTTGTCATTTTCCGGTTTAATTTGTAGTACTGACCAAGCCGTTAAGGAAAACTCCCACACAATCGAATCAAATAACCAAAACTAACTCACCTCTCTCGACGAAACCGAGATTGTCCGGCAAATGCGGTCAAAACGGTCACAACAAAAATAAACTGACACTTTTTTCCAGCCGGAACTAATAGCGTTTTGTTTAAGGCCGTTGTTGACTTATCGCCTGTTGCTTTGGAAATGGTTCACCTTCTCTATAGGTACGCGAAGCATACGGAAAGTTTCTTATCGTTAGAATTTTATGCCGAAATGCAGGTAACTGTGGCAAAACGTGTACATATCGCCAGTAGTCGATAACGCGGAAACTTTTTATTACTACTTTGCCTTGTTACTGCCTTGAATAGTTACACGTGGTCCGTTTATGCACCTTTGTAGCAAAAACTGTTTGTTACTGTCAAAATTTAAAACAATTTTTTACCGACTTAAACCGAGTACCTTCCACCTAAGAGAACAAACAAATATAGTTGCTATTAATATTTACTTGTTCGAAATCTGACCTGATAAAAACTGCCTTGCTCTGCAAAAAAGTTTTTTGTCGCATCAATATACAGCACGGGTTAAACATTTGTCGCAAATCGTTGTAGCTGCAATTTATTTAGTACAGCTCGACTCGGGGATTACTGTCTCGCTATTACAATAGGTAGTTTAGAAATCTATTTTTGGGCATTTCCCGTCGAAAAGGTGGTTTTCGATGAAATTGCGACTTTTTAAATTTAAATTATTTTTCGTTATGATTTATACTATTTATTTCTATTTTATAAAAATTATTTGCAATATGATATGATATAAACATAAAATTTACTTATGCAATACCCGACAATATAAACCAAACCCTCCTAAGTTTACGACGTTCCCATAATAATTCCTTGTTGGCAAGAGACTCACCCTCAATAAAACCCAAAATTTTAAAAATTCGCTGGTAGCTCACTAACTACCACACCACGTGTCAAGCACAGGACAGGACGAATTTGGCGCCACCTGAACATTATATATAACAGGAAATAACTAAGTTCTGTAGAAAATAAAACTTATTAAATTATTCCAGGTTAGCGGAAAACAATTAGTACTATGTGCGGTACTGTAAATAATAGTAATCTCAATTGTTTAACGTTTATTAAAGATGACCACTCACTCGGCCATCTGCTGGTACCGAACGGTACCCCTAAACGGACACACGGAAGCGACTGAGAGTCATCTGGGTATATTCCACTAAACTTCGAGCGATTCCTTACAGATGGTGCGCGTGGTTAAAAAAAGTAAACTGCTTGAAATGGCGATAAATTATTGTTTCTATAATACATTTAGTTTTTATAGGCACCCGATAAACACATATATTTTAACAAATTCCAAAGCAACGGCTTTAAGTCATTTCCATTAAATCAATGATTTGTGTATAACTAACCAAATACTTGTTCCAATTTTCTAATTTAGCAATACAAAAGTCTGACCAAAAAAGGATACATTCCAACATATCGATAACGCTTCCTGGAACTTCTTCTTTCCCTAAAAAACTTGCCACTTCTTTCCGTAGGTCGTGGAAGAGACTGTAGTAGGAAGGTAATTCTAATTCTTTCCGACAAGCCTCTGGATGGAGACATTGTCGTAACGGTGGTTGACCGTCGGTCACTAGCCTGAAACAACAAGGCCATTAGACTTATTCATACCAACATATACAGCCCATGAAAACATACATAGGCTTATTTTGAGTAATTTGTTAGAAATTCAACAATGATTGAATGTTTGTTCAACTTATAATATGTATGCAAATAATTTATCCCTTAATTTGTTATTGTAAATTGTATATCAGCATAAAAAATTACTAATACGTATTAGTACGTGTTAAAAATTGTAAACAAAATAAACCACCTTCTTGAAAGCACTTTTCTGCTATAAGATTCCTTAGAGATACAGTTAGTAAAACATACAGAAACAGTAAAGTAACTGAAATAGCTGCAACGATACAATTCAATGGGGGTTTTTGAACATGCTGATTTCAAAAATGCTAACAGCAATATTGTCATAGTTACCACTTTTACGGTACATGTCATAATTTTGTTACTTTAAATGGAATGCCATATTTATTTTTGTTGCATTAAATTGTGCGTGTAGAATTTGGCAAGGTCTCATAATTTCAAAATTTGTTTCCGTTAAACTCGAAAATTGCTGATCAAATGCTCAAAAACAAGCTGGAACTCTCTACGTTCAAAACCCCCTTGAATTTTGAATTTTATCGCTCCAGCTTGGCAGTGTTGAAGAAGCGTTCCGGTACTTCCTACTGAAAAAGCGGTGTTGTCGTGACTCAGAAATAAATAGAAAAAAACTTGAAATTATGAGACCTTACGAAATTAGACATGCCGCAATTAATTGCAACAAAACTAAATACGGCATTCCATCTAAAATAAGAAAATTATGACCTCTAACGTAAAAGTGGTAAAAAAAGTCTGACCACATTGCTCTTAGCATTTTTAAATTCTACATTTTCAAAAACCCCCAGGTATAGCATTCTATCGTTCCAGATTTGGCAGTTTTCAAGATATTAAAGCGTTCCATTACTTTTTACTATCCCAGTATTTATTGCACATCATATAGAGGGTGTTTTCTAATTGGATGTCAATCATTAAGGTGCCAATTTTTGAGTCTCTCGTCTTAACTTTTGAAAGACAGGGTGGTACAGCTTTCAAAAATAAAATATATTTTTTTAACTTTAACTTTAACCACTTTACATATTTTAATGAAATTTGGCACACATGTACTATGTATCAAGACGCATTATTTAATGTACCACTTTTTTTTTAAAAAAACAGCAGTGGCCGGCGTACGGCATTTCACCTGTCTATTTTGGCAGACATTGCTGATACACTACCGATTCGTTTTAAAATAAAAATTATTTTTACAATCCCCAATCATTTCTAAAGAAATATAATTTCTTGATTTAAAAAAAAAATAACAACCTCTTTTCTGCATGGTGAAAAATTAAGAGATCAAATCTGCTCATAAATGAATGCAAATGTCTTTTTTTTTTAAAGAAACTCAGTGGCATGCCACTGACTGTCTAAGAATAAATAATATTTTGGGTTAATTAGGTTGCTACTGATAAGGTGTTAAAAAGTGTTCTACACCTTTTAACTCTTTTCCTCTTTTCATATTGCCGCGCACTATTTGAAGTATACCTCTTAAATCACAGGAAGCTCTTATACGATCCTTTAGCTCTTCTGCAGTATTAACTGGGGTGCGATAAATCAGACTTTTAAGGTGCCCCCATAAGAAAAATTCCAACCTATTTAAATCTGGGGACCTAGGGGGCCACGATTGAGGTCTGCCGCGACCTACCCATCGGTTATTAAATGTGTGATTTAAATATTTTTAAATTTTTAAATATATTTAGCCTTTTTGGTAGGAAAAAGGATCCAATTTGCAACCATTCAAGCCCAAACATTAAGATTTCAAAAATACACCTCAGAGTTTATGTACTTTGTATTCGTACTTTGGTTTTGTAAAGTATTTTAAAAAAACAAATAAACCATTACTTCAGTAAAAAAAAGACAATGTTTGCCTGCATGCTGTTATATTAACGATATTGATGCAGAGAAGAGTTCAAGCCGAGTTCAGACGAGAAGCAGAACGACCCGACTTGAAAATGGCAAGTGAGATCTTGCCGAAACGTTGTCAGCAGAGGACTACCTCCACTTGGAGCCAGCCAGACCAGACACGGAGTAAAACCCGGAAGAATTTACAACACACATGCAAGACCCGCGGAAGCCTAAAACAATAATATATATATATATATATATATATATATATATATATATATATATATATATATATATATATATATATATATATATATATATATATATATATCGTGTTCGAAGTGTTTTCGGAGCGCGAGCCTTGAAGATGCCAAGTGAGATTTTGGAGTTCAACAAGCGAACGGATGATATTTTGAAAACTTTACCGCCCTGTATCTCAAAAGTTCAGACGTTTAGAGCATATGTGCGTATGAAATTTTCGTTTTAAAATGGATGCAAGGTCAAATATTTTCAAATAAGTAGAACAAAGAAACCAACAGACACAGAAGGTAAGCTTGTGTAAATTTTTTTTAAAAAATTTTAAACCAAAAAAACTACCTTAAGAGATTTACAATACTTATCGGTATTTTTTTTTTAATTGAGAATAATCGGTTAATTAATTCCAGATAACTCTAACAAGTATCCATCCACTGTCTGCTACCAAGTGTACATGGCAGGGTATTCTAAATTCAATGGACAGCTAGGAACCAAAAACAATATAGGTGTCATATCTGCTTCAACCGTGATTGTATAACCGATACCCAAATCTAATATGCCTATTTATTTGTATTGTATTCACTTTTTTGCTTTACTAATGAGTAATTCTCTAATAGGTTTTATATAAATGCTTTTATTGTTGCTACATTCCTTTGGAAACTACCAATAGTTTCTAGTGCTTTAAATTATATTTTTTTCTTTATTTCAGATGAACAATGATTCAAATGATGTCACAAAATGATGACCGCGCGGCTATGACTGCAATCAAATTTTAAATTTACCATGATACTTACACATGGCTTTTTTATTTGAATAATGAATAACACCTGATGTCCTATTTAAGACGGCAATTTATTTCGTCGACTGAGATGGCCCCACCGAATCGACGCAATAATAAATTTATCAAATTGTGTAAACAAGCGTGATTATTACGCAAAATATATGAGCATAAAAAATCAGTTAAAAAATTCGCAATTAATTAAAAGAGATATTAAAAAGGCAAATTAAATAAATCAAACATGTCGCACTTACCTAAACCCGGCATTATGAGGGTCGAGATGTATAGAGGCGCAGTAAGCGTCAAATTCCCCGAGGGCATCCTCGAGACGTCGTCCAGCGGTTCGCACCAGGTCGTCGGAGAGCGTGGACTCGGCTGCCAATTGTTCGGTAATTATTACGTTACCGTTGGGGTCACCACCGGCTGTCGGTTGTCCTGGATGAATTACCGTCGGCCGAATGGGATACTGTTGCACACCAACTATCTGAAAGAGTTAACACAATATATCAAACTTCATTCTTCGAGGTATTTTACACAAAAAGTGTATATTTGCCAATTTTCGAAAATATTTTGTTCTCCTAGATACGAGGGCTGCCTTTTATATTTCGGGATTTTCTTAAACTAGTGCTGCCATCTGGCGACTAACGTTTTTATAGTGAAGTTTGACATTTTGAGGTTACGTTTACTCAGGTTTTGGCGAAGGAGTGTTGTTTGTGCTGTTTGTGATAAATTAAAAAAAATGTGGCGCTTAAAAATAAAACTTAATCGGGGGCATTTTCGTGCAATAAGTTTTCACAACTTTTGACGTGTACTAACTCAACAACAATGCACCGATAAACTTAATTCGACTTTTGTAATTTAATTAATGACTAAAAACAAACTTAATCTTTTTTGAAATAAACTTCCACAGGCTACGGTATTACTGAACTGAATTAAGTTTCAGTTAAGCTCTGAAGAAGCCAACAGGATGATAGAAACAAAAACTGCCAAACACGTAAAATTAAATTTCGAGAAGGACATACACGAGAATATTTTCCCTTAGTTAATGCTCGCGGCGGGAGCTTAAAATTGGAAATGAAATGAGAGCCCGAGTAGTATTTTATTTGAAAGGCCTCTTTTGTAAGAAAAATAGAATCTGATAAATTTATGGATTTTATTTTGAAACCGACCGAGATTTTTTTATTTTGAATTAATATTTGCTTACACTGATTGCATTTTTCTTTCAGAGATTTTATGAATTACTTGTCTTTTTGGGAACTACACCCTTGTATTGATATATGGCGCTTCCATTTCTTTAGGCGATACAATTCGTTCGTTTTACTAATGTTTTATTTGGTTTGGCGAATTGCACACTTAATTTACTAAGAAACAAATAGCCTTTAAAGTATCAAAATAACATTTTTCTTGCCAATCTTTTTAAGTAATACCTAATTGCACGCCACTATTTTGTAAAACAGTTAGGGCAGTATAAGCAATAAGCATTTGCATGCTACCTCGTTGGTTTAAAGGCAAAACGCACAGCAAAGACTTTATTTGTTAAACTTCATACATTGTCATTACCGAGATTTTCTACGGTTTTGGTGTAGGTTCAAAGCCAATTTTAGAAGTTATATGTAAGAAACAAACCAACAACTGCGTTTTACAAAACTTGTGGATTCCTTCTGCGTCGGTTTTTGCTTAGTCGAAATTGCTGACGTTTCGCCAATCATCCTGTTGGCTTCTTTAGAGCTTGACTGAAACTGTTTCGGTCAAGCTCTGAAGAAGCCAACAGGATGATTGGCGAAACGTCAGCAACTTCGACTAAGCAAAAACCGACGCAGGAGGAATCCAGAAGTTTTGTAAAAAGGATTACAGTAGCCTGTGGAAGCTTCTTTGAAAAAAAAAAAACAAACAGCAACAACTGTTTTCTTATAGTAACCCAAGATATTTTGGGAGCAAATATCAATAAGTTTTTACTAATAAGCTGTTCTAACTTTGCCATTTAAGAATGCCTATCTTTTTTTGACCTGTTGACCAATTTACTTTTTTTTACTTATATTGTATACAGAATTAAATATATTAATTATAAAGCACACTTACAGCAAATTAAGAATTAATTTGCACTAACTTATTGATAGAGTGCATGTTGCGCTCAGAATCATTATTCCGACTCAATATACACGATAGGAATTCGCTGAACACTAGTCTAAACATTTTCCAGTAGATGCGCACCAATGAAATTCTGATTAATTAGTGTTTTGCTGCCCACAGTCAGGAAAATGCGTCGTAAAACCTTTTATGACATCTTATTTGTTTCTTTTTTACGCATTTCAATTTACGTCATAAATATTCCGAGAATAAAAACATTAAAACGTTTGCATTTACGTGGCGCATTCACAAAAATGTTAAACTAATTTTAAACCCCATTTATTAGACAAGTTAGAATCGTGCTGCTAAATTTAATAATTTTATTTATATTTGAACCATGGTATTTATGTTATAGGTTAAAATTTGTTAAGAGTTTTTATCCTATAATGTGTGAACTAAACGATAGCAACCGTTTGGATAGTCGAAGATTAACAATCCGAGCCACTTCGGACATTTCCGGGATTTTACCGCGCTGATTTGGGAGCGATCGGATGTTTTCGAAGATATTTCCCACGCTTTGAATTTTGACATTTGTCAATTCTAACAGTCATGTAAGTGAATGTATTTGTGTTGTTTTGCGAAAATGTACCCAAAAACTAACGGTCATAGAAAAAGCATAGTATGCAACACGTTCGGCAAACTTTTTAACTCACTCGTTTATTAAACACTCGCTCCGCTCGTGTCAAATAAACTCGTGAGTCAAATGCCGTTTACCGCACTTGTTACACAATATACTATTAAAAAACTCCCTACTACAGTCATCTGCCATTAGTATGAACGCGTATGACAAAAAAAACGCTCACTCTGATCAAAATGTGCATTGCAGTTCCATAGATGGCGCTCACGGAAATTTTTTTATGTGAGATAAATCATTCCTCTAGTGTTTAGTTGTCAGAATAGTTTTGTCTTCATCATGGGCGCTCTATTTTTTTATTTCTCGTATTTTCTACTAAAGTGAATGGTTATACAGATTATCTTTGACAGAGTGTGAAACGGCGAGTTCTACAAGATCGGTTAAACTAAAAAAAAGTTGCGTTATTTAATGGCGTTTCAATATTATTAAGCAGTGTTATCAAAACAGGCAATTTCTGAGATCAAGAGTGATTTGTAAAAATTACATAAATTAATTTTTGCCCCTTAAGAAGACTCGCATGAAGTTTAGCGTTAACAAGAAAGCAATGTGTATTTCATGTTTGTTTCCATAGTTTAGCCATACATTTTTTTATATATTAATTTATAACACGTAAGAAGTTACCATTGACCCATACTTTAGCCATAATTTTTTTATACAGTAATTTATAACAAAGCACTAAAATGGGTCAGTAGATCGTATCAATCCACAATTGTAAGTTCTGTGATTTCTTCTTGCGTAGCTTTTGCCCATCCAGTACGTAAGCCCGGCTGCTAGTTTTGCACACCGCACATCTGTAGGTGTAAAAAACGTGCCATATTTGTCTAATTTCTTCATTCGCCTCGCATCGCAACGGCGGAGGAGGACGTATCCGATTCAAATTTATCGATGAGTGAAGAAATTTGATTTTGTACACAATGCAAGGAGGAAACTTTTCGCCGGCTAGTTTAAATATCACCGCGAAATTTTCTTTTTCATACATTTGCGAATGCGAATAGTTTACTAGTTTTAACGCCGATTTCGGATTTTTTTGCCGTAGCGTCTGCAACTTAACTTTTAATCTCCTGAAGATATTCCTATTGCGCACGGTCCTCATATAATTGATTACTACCAACGCTGGGGATTTTGAGTTTTTATTTTGGTTTTCATGAGGAACGTATTTTTCGCAAATTCTCTTTATTCTGTGCAAGATATCTTCACAGCATAGTTCTTCCCGTTTTATGCAGACATTAGTTTTATGGTCGAATCGGTACGGTTCGAGAAATTTGCTATGGTCCTCATTTAATGCAGCGAACAAATGTGCTTTCGAGATCTCTGACATTTCGGTGACAGTTACAATCATGTGATGTGACCACGCAATCACTCTGAGTTATTACTGCCCGTCAGTTTATCTTTTAAACTAACCTTCTCAAATTAAATAATTTAAGTTCTTCTAAGTTAAATTATTTTGGAAAGTTAATTATCTCATTCATTTCAAAAGTGATAAGATTTTGCTTTTTAAGTTTACAGGGTGGTTCAAAAAAGCGCAACTAATTCCATACACATTTTTTAAAACTGGAACACTAATTTTAAATTTTATTTTGTATTTCTTTTAAAATTCTTCCACTTTTTTCTTAATAATAATACAAACTAATGGTTTCTCAAATATATTAATTTTTCTAGAAAAATACTAGTTTTCACACTTGGAAAAAAATTACCATAGCGCCATTATTTTTGAAGGTTCTCGCTCATATTAGCGTTTTTGGAATATGACGTAAAAGATATTTGCAACGGAATTTCAATTAGATTCTATTGGGTATTCAAAATAAACTAATATATTTGAATAATTTAAAATTGAAAAATCTCGATTTTCTTAAAAACTATATAAAATATACTATTTTTTCTGAAAAACCTACAACTCTTATTAATAATACTTTTTGATATATTTTTACTTATCCGATATTTACCCCTCTTTCTCTCTAATTAATAATTAATTAATAATATTATATAGATAGTGAACAAGAGATAGAACTTTGTTGGAACCGTAGATGAAACGACAGACAGTTATTAGCAATTTTGGTTAAAACAAAGACCAAATTTTAAATTCACAGAAAAATAAATAATATTGAAAACCTATCAATACAAATTCACTTTTCTTATTTTTAATTGTTATTATGGCGCAATAAATATTAAAAAATATGCCCTTCAAATTGAATACACATGCCTTTTTCGTATATTTTATTATTATTACTTTGTACGTCTTTATTCGCCATAAATTACAAAAAAATGAAACAGTGGGAGATATAACAATTGCATTACGTGGCAACAATAACTTATACTAAACCGTATCGATAATCCTAAACAAAAACAACGTTGTTCTGTTCTCTTTTTAAAAGTTTTGATTGTGTAGTGATGATAGTCCACTGACAATTTATTTTAAATCTAGGAGCCGCATAAGATAATGACCGCCTTGAATGCTGCAGAGGTGTGATGCGGGATTATCAACAACCTACTGTTGCGGGTATGATAAGAACTGATAATGTTGGTCCCTCCGAAATCAAAACCTTGTGAGTCAATTATAAGTGAACATTTCGTAAGAGGGGGAGTTTTAATTTACCCGACTCGGCGGTTTTGTAATTGATTCCGATAGCAGGAATTCTGAATCTTCTGCAGCATATCGCAATGCCTCCGCAGCAGTGCCGGTTAAACTCTCACACAAGCGCAACTTTAACTCTGGTGGCATAATA